ACTCTGTAGGCAAAGTGCTTGTAGCTTAAGTGAAGATGCCTAGAGTCCACATAAAGCCAGACAAGCAGTGTTTCTATAAGGGGAGGCAAGGGCAAAAGAGTCCTTGGAAGCTCCAGGGTCAACTAGCCTGCATACACAATGGTAAGCCACAATGAACTAACCACAAGAGACCCCATCTCAGACAAGGTGGAAAGTGGGCACAGACACCCATTGTTTTCTTGAGAATGCATGCACACACACACGGAGTAATAGGGCTGGAGAGATGGATCGGCAATTAAGAGCACTGGCTCCTCTTCCAGAGGACCAAGGTCTGATTTCCAACACCCCCATGACAGCTCACAACAGTCTGTAACCCCAGTTCCAGGTGGTTCTTGGGCTTCCACTGGTACGAGGGCACAGGAATGCATGTGGTGCACAGTTATACATCCAGGCAAAACACCCATGCCCATAAAATAAAAATATTTTACAAAAAAAGATTTAAAAATAAAAACACTAATTAACACGGGTTGAGCGCCTATAGTTTCTAGGCACGGTTGTAAATTTTTTACATGGGTCACCCAATTTAATCTTCCTTTTAGATAATCTTTCCTTTAATCTTTCCTTACAGATAAAAAAAAACCTGAAATTCTGAGACAGTAAGTCAATCACCAGGGGTTACAAAGCCAATAAACTGAACTCAGATTAGCCAGCCCCCAGGGCCTAGGAAGTGCAAAGTGACCTGTGGCAAATGCAGAGCTTGGCTGTGGATTTTCTTGCTAGCCTAACAGCATCGTTGAGGTCACGTGAGCAACCTGTCTTCAACTATGGGAAAGATGTAAAAAAACCAGACTATCTCTAGCAATTGCTCTTACAGGGTGTATGACAGCCTGAAGGCCACCGACTCTTTCTGGAAATAGGCCTCAGGTATTCCAATATGTTGTTAGCCAATACAGTTCTAATAGAGAATTATCTGGGGTGTAGCTCACGTTCTCTGTGCTTGCTGTATTAACCACCTGACCGAGGGATCACTCGTGTGTGTGTGTGTGTGTGTGTGTGGGGGGGAATGTCTCTTCGAATCTCACAGGGGACATCTCAGACATCAAGATCAGAGGCTAGCGTGGTGACGTGCAACTGGTAAGCTCCCTCAGCTCTTGGGGCGAGTTGGCAGGAAGATCAGTTAAGCGTCCAGCCGGGACTACATTAAATTCCCATTGGGAAAGCAAAACAAAACCCAAAATCCATCAAGACCATTAATTTTACAAGTGTTGTCAACATTTATCCGTCACGCAGCTGCATAGAAACTGAAACTGGAAGAACCGGCTCCAGATGTGGGTTCAGCTTGAGGTACTCCTGTCCGTTGAGAAGGTGAGGAGAAAAGGCCAGAAACTCAGGACAGGCGTAGGGAAGGCTGCAGACCCCGCCGTGGCCCCTCTGAACGGTGGGCAGCGCAGGATATCCAGGTCGGTCCCAGCTTACCGCCCCACTGCAGGGTGGGAGGCTGCGCCGCTCACCTGACTTGTCCTGGCCGCCTCGCTGCCGCAGCCCAGGTGACCGGTGGTGGCACGTCGGGCGGCGGTTCAGCTTGAAGATACAGGGAAAACCAGCACGGCCACTACAGAGCCGGAGGCACTTCGGCCCGCGCATGCGCAGACTGCTGTACCCTGACCTAGCGCGCACGCGCAGCAGGTAACCCCGCCCCAGGCCCCGCCCCCAGGCTTGGTTCCCGCCCCCGCAGGCGCGGTCAGCTCCGGAGCCCCGAACGCCCATATCCGGGTTCCCTCCGCCGCCGCCGCCGCCGCCGCCGCCGCCTCGCTCTTTCAGCCCTGTCAGGAGCGGTGTGATTCCCGACCAAGATGGCGGCCGTGGGGCGAGTCGGCTCGTTCGGTTCCTCTCCACCCGGGCTCGCCTCGACTTACGCCAGCGGGCCCCTGGCTAACGAGCTGGCGTCGGGCAGCGGCGGCCCCGCGGCGGGCGACGATGAGGACGGGCAGAACCTTTGGTAAAGACCGCACCCCTCTCTGGTCCCCCGCGGGTTATCTCCTCGCCGGGGCGGACGCCTCTGGGATCCCGGTGCCCCGCGGGAGCTGGGAGCCGGGCGGGGCCTCCCGGGAGCTGGGGCCGGCCGTTCCCGTCCTCGGCCGGGCCCGGCCTCAGCCTGCGCTTTGCTCCCCGTTAGGTCCTGCATCCTCAGCGAGGTGTCCACGCGCTCGCGCTCCAAGCTCCCGACCGGGAAGAACGTGCTGCTGCTGGGTGAGTGGTCCCCGCTGTGGCCGGGGGTGCAGGGTCACCCATCCGCTCGCCCACTCTCTTTGTGCGGACAGCCGGGGCGGCCGCGCCCCGCCTCCCGGCCTGCGGCTGACAGCTGGGGGGCTGAGGGGATCCTGGTTCTCCCTGCCCGGACCCTCCGGTCCTTTCTCCTCCCTGGGATGTGGGATGAGCCTGTCATCTCCTCCGGGAGAGACAGAATGAACCTAACACCCATGGGAATGGGAATCCCAGCGTTCTGGGGTTCTACCTAGAAAAACGGGGACAGTTTTTCCTTTCATAACAGAGGTTGGTAGCAGGCGGGCTCTTGGTGCTCGAGCGCAAATGCATGCCATTAATATTTAATAGCTGACTCTTTTGTGTAATTGACAGGAGCCAGGGACTGGGTCGTGATGAGTGTTATTTGAATCAGCGTTCTCCCGTTCTCTCAGTGCTGTGTGCTCGGGTTGCAGTTGCCTCTTTTTAACTGTCACCTAATAACTCTGAAATTTGTAAAGGGCAGTAGAACAGCGTTCTCATTTAGTTCCTTCAGCGGGATGGCTAGACTAAGGGAGACATGTCTCTCCCTTTCTCTTAGGTTTATTTATTTATTTTTTTAATCTCTACTGCATGGAAAGTGGGGATAAAGGACCAAGGGACAATGGACAATCCCAGCTCCACAGTTTTGTAAGTGTTTCCAGAAGGAATACCCCTCCCCCTTTTTATAATATGCAAGATATTGGAGTGTATAATAGGTTGACAGTCATATTTTAAAACTTTGATGTGGGTGTCTCAAACCTTTAGCCTCTTGATTTTAGCCAAGAGGTTGAGAAGCTATGCCTGAAGAGTATGTATGTCTAAAAATTGCTACCTGAGGGGCTCCTCAGTTGACGATGAGTGAGGAGGTGGGAAGAAATGACTCATTTTTCTATGACCTTCTACTAATACATGCATATGTCTTTGTGTTGTATAAAGCTGTGGTCAAGCTAGTTGAAAAATCAGCATTGTTCCTGACCTTTCTTTTCCTGTGATTGAAAGCACCACGTGCAGATAGCCTAGACTGAATAAAGGCCCCTGTCATATATGAACTCTGTGATCTTAAGCAAGTTGATTGGTGTCTGTAAGCCTGGGCGCCTTCATCTTTCAAATGAGAGTTGTGGAAAGACAAGTGCCTGCCTCCTGGAATTGTGGGAGGGTCAGATGATGCACTGTGTAAAGCCAGCCAGGCAGTCTATGAGAGGGACATGACCGAATGAGAAAGCATTCCTGGGAAGTCTTTAACAAGTGAATTAGGGCCGGCAGTTGAGTTGTGCCCAGTAAACCTGTCTTCTTCCTTAAGAACAAGAAAGGATTACTGCCCAAATGAGAGCTATTGATAGGGCAGAGATAAAATAGGGTTCCAAAGCAACAAAACAAAAACCAGTTCCAGAGACCGTTTTTAATTACTGATGCAGACAGATCACTGCTGATTGCTACAGTGAACTTAAGACTGCATGAGCCCCAGGAGGTGGGTTCTGTTTTAGTTACTCTGTAGATTTGGTTACTTTAGATTTCTTTTCAAATCTCACCAGGAGAAATGGGCAGGCTTGTTCCCAACTGGTGTTTTCTGGGTCCTTCTGACACTGGGTCAGGTTGTAAGACTCGGTGAACTTAGTGGCTCCGCACTCCTTCAGCTTCCCCCTGCCCAGGCTAGATTTCCTTTCTTATGAACTTAACCTTTCAGAAAGCTCCATTCGGTTTCCTTATGTAAGCCTGAAATGCCATGTTTTTCTTTCAGTACTGTTAGGGTTTTCTTGAATCCTTTTCAGCTTTGGGAAAAACTAATCATTAATTTTTTTTTAAATACTGTTTATGCAAATACAGTTACTTCCCCAAATTCCTCTAAAGAGTTCCTGGTGGCATTTATTGTCCGGTATTATAGCGGTGCTCAGTCTGTGGTGGTTGAGGAAAGAAATGCACTGTAGGCATTACAGTTGTCCTTGTTATGAGCTTGAGGGTGTCAGGCCAGGGAGGTGCTTGACTCTGATACATCACTCATGAATGATGGTGTTTTGGAGTCTATATTCAAAGAAGAAAATAAGTTGGAGCCCATTAACGAGGCTTTGTGTTTCAGAAATAACCTAGTAAGGAAGGATGATACAGGCCTGGGAATCCCTTACACATCTACATTGCATATCTACACATCATCACAATTTTAACCCTTTGCTTGCTGCTTCACCTTTCCTCCGAGTAGATAATGGAGTCAGAACTGGGGGTGTGCGTATGTGCATAAGGAATTCTCAAAAGCAGGTTTTTTTTTTCTTTCTTTTTTTTAAGATTTGTGTGTGTATGTGTGTGGTGGTGGTGGCGGTCCTATGCATATGAACACAAGTGCTCACAGAGGCCAGGAGTGTCAGATATCCCTGGAGTTGGGGTTACAGGCCTGATTTAGACGCTGGGAATCGAACTCAGGTCCTCAGGAAGGGCAGTATGTTAAGAACAGTATCTTAATCATTGAGCCATCTCTCAAAAACATTTTCATACATATCTGTGATTCTATCCTGCCCAATTTAGAGGATTGATGGTAGCACCAATTTATAGAAAGGGTGATGGTATTTAGACACAGTTAAGTCGGTTCTCCAGACTCCTTATTGTTAAGGGCCCTGGATGGCATGGCACTGGCATAGCTTCGTGACTGGATTGAAGTCCCTTCAAGGGAGATAATGCCACATACAAAACTCTTTACTACTCATTTCTTTGGTTTGTTTGTTTGGCTTTTCAAGACCAGGTTTCTCTGTGTAGTCCTAGCTATCTTGGAACTCGCTCTGTAGACCAGGCTGGCCTTGAACTCACAGAAAGATCTACCTTCTCTGTCTCCCGAGTGCTGAGATTAAAGACATGTACCACCACTGCCTGGCCTCAATGGTTATTTTTGACCCAGAACACCAATAATTAATTAAAGGAAAAAAATCTGGTCTTAAGCTAGTACCCAGGAGGCTAAAGCATGAGAAGCACCAATTCAGGGGCTGTACAGGGAGACCTTGTCTTTAAAAAGAAACTAGGTGATTTGGTGAGCCAGCCAGAGGATCAAGAGTACAAAGCCATTCTCAGTTGTATATTAAGACAACAACAACAAAAAACAAGAGCAAGGGGCTGGAAAGATGGTTCAGCAATTAAGAACACTTGCTTTCAGGGTTTGAGAGACGGCTCAGTGGTTAAGAGCACTGGCTGCTTTTCCAGAGGACCTGGGTTCAATTCCCATCATCCACATGGCAGCTCAGAACTGTCTGTAACTCCAGCTCCAAAGGATCTGGGACCCTCACACAGATACACATACAGGCAAAACACCAATGCACATAAAAATAAATAAATCTTTAAAAAAAAAGAGAGAGAGAGAGAACACTTATTCTTGTAGGTTCAGTTCCCAGGAGCTACATGGTGGCTTCTAACCATCCAGTTGAAGGAGATCTGACACTCTCTTCTGGCCTCCTCAGAGGCACATATATATGTGCAGGCTAAACATTCATAAACAGAAGAAAAAAAGGAGATTCAAGTTCTTATTGGGCTTTGGGATGTGACTTATTGAGGGATATAACTGCCCATGACACTTGTTCTTAACTGTCTGTTTAATCTACCTAAGCCTGGCTCTTAGTGAAGTCCGGAAAGACTATGACAGTACTCGGTCATTCTACACATATCTGTTTATCTTTCTCCTTTTTCAGTAGGGGAGTGAGTAGTAGGGATTGAACCCAGAGCTTCACACATAATAGGCAGACATTCTTACAGCCTGAGCCCCTAAAACTATTAATCTTTTGAGGAGCAGGGATTGAAGGGTTCCATAACTGTGGGAAACATGTTTTTATTAGTTGAATTATGTTGATGCTGTTTCCTAGTCTAGTTGATTATGAGACTAATGTCAGTTGGTGATTGAATGACACAAAGAAGACTGTCTCATATATAGTACAGAGTTGAGGATTAGCATAAAATATGTGCTTAGTATATGTTATGCTAAAACATCTACCAAATACAAAATGTTATGAAGATCAGATGGCATATTGCTGTCTTAAAATAGTCAGGGCAAGCAAAGTTTTTGTAGAGGATCAGACACTAAGTATGTATGCTTTGTGAGTCATGCAGTGTCTTGAAACTCCTCAGTTCTGCTCTTTAGTCACCAAACAGCTACAAATAATACATGAATGAATGAAACATAGCAGTATTTCAATAAAAGTTTGTTTTCAGAAACAGGCAATGGGCCAGTTTTGCTCTATGACCTGGAATCATTGAATTCTCCCTTTCTGTTGCCATTAGTTTTATCCTTAAACAAAGATGACAGTTAATGGAGTTTTTATTGAATGGGTTATGGTATTTGGCACAGAAGATGCTCAGTGAGTACGTGTTGCATGAATTAACTTTTGGTATAGTTGAATAGAGAGTTAAGAATTAAGAGTAGTAGACACATTTCCCCAGTGTCACTGTCAAAAACAGAGATAAACTGGTAGATTGGTTCTTCAGCTGGAGTGAAGTCCAATGAAAGAAAATGCCAACAAAAGGGCTTTGAAAGTTCAAGGGAGAAGCTGGACATGGTAGCACAGACTTCCCTGTACTTGGGAGGTAGAGACAAGAGGATTAGGAACCCTTATTACATAGTGAGTTAGAGTTCAGCCTGGGCTGCGTGAGTCTCGTGTCTCAAAAAACTAGAAAGAAGAATGAAAGAAAGAAAGGAATAGAAAATGCAGACCAGAACCCTGAATTAGGAAAAAAAAAAAAAAAAAAAAAAAAAGATACCACATGGTGTCTTGGTAGCCAGTGGGTGAGATGGGCAAGCCTATCTGTTATTTATTTATTTATCTTATCGATTTATTTATTTAGCTATTTATTCATCTATCTATCTATCTATCTATCTATCTATCTATCTATCTATCTATCTATCTATCTTCCTATTTGAGACAAGGTTTCTCTGTGTAGCCTTGGCTGTCCTGGACTCACTTTGTAGACCAGGCTGGCTTCAAACTCATATCAATCCACCT